GAGATACCCGGGCCAGGTTCCCAGGCCCAGGGCGGCTTCCCCCAGCCCAGCCAGGCACAGGTTCCCACGAGACCCTCGCCCGGGTCAGGGAGCCGCAGGAGCTGACCTAAGGCACAACACAGACGTGTGGTTGCCCCTGTATTTCTGTTTACTAGTTCAGCTTTAAAACCCTAAGCAACTACTGGAACAAACCCTGCAGCTGGCTAGGCGCTAAGCAGCTCCCTGGGAACTTGCTGCCAGCAATATTTCCATTTCACGGGTCTGATGGCCCCGAGCCACGGGCTCTCCCGCAGCCCAGCAGGGTAGGTCCCAGCGCAGCTTCCCAGCCACTGCAGGCCCCAAGTGTGAGCTGTTGAATTAATGGGTTTGGCACTGAAACACCCGTGCAAACAAAGATAATAGCGTTATTCACTGCAACCAGCTCACAAGTTGTCCCCAAAGCCAGGAGAAGCCCTTGGAGTAGACCTGGATTAATCTCAGGGAACTCAATTAACACCCATATGAGTGTTACGACATTTTTATCTAATTGCCTCGGAGATAACAGATCATAAGCCTGCCTGGGGCTCCTCAGCTCGCAGGGTGTCCGAGGCACACGGCCCTGGCAGCCCTGGAGCAGGTCTTTTGCTGGGAGCACTCCCAACCTCCTGCCCCACAAAGCAAACCATCCACACAGCCTCCAGTTGGGAGCAGAGGTAATCTTCATTACATGCTTCCTTCCTCTCCTCTGAAAAGCCAAAGGGTTTTGGCAAGTCTCTTCAGACAGCTTTGTTTCAAGTGGTAAGACCCCGGAGAGTAAATTACACCCCCCCCCCCCCCACAGAGGGACGGGTGCCTTAAACACAGCACAGTCCCCTTGCGGCAGCCAGCCACCCACTGAGGCCCTGGTGGAGAGACCCCCAGTGTTTTGTCGGCCGAAGAGACAGCAAGTGTGAGATGGGCCAGACTCTGTCAGCATCCAGCCTGGCCCTTGTACCTCAATCTCTGTCGAAGACGACACGAAAGGTGGGGAGAGCCAACGGCTTCAGCCATGGGGCGAGCACCTGGGAGAGTCAATAAAGGAGGTGAGGGAAGCAGCAGTGGGGGAAGGATGTCCAAAACATCACCCTTGTCTGGAAAATGCCATCATCCGTCTTGGTGACAGCGGCTGCAGCTCTCCCCTGGGCTCTCCTGCAGGAGCTGGGGACAGCCGAGGGACAAGCGCAGAGGAAGCAAGCCTTTTCCTTACAAGACGGGAGAGGAAAGAGCTGTTGCTCTCTGTTTATCTCCTCTCTCAACAGTCAGGGCATCCGGCCAGGAGGTCAAAGACCTGCTGCAATTCTGCCTCGTCTCCAAGGGGACCGATTTTGTAGCTCTCTGATGAAAGTCTAAATATGTTGGCAACGAGCTGCTCTGGAAGCTTCCAGTCCCTGCTCCAAGGACTCTCTATATACCCACATAAAATAACTGCTGTCTAACACACAGGCCCCGTAACGCCAGCTCCTCTTGCCTCGTCTCCAAGGGGACCGATTTTGTAGCTCTCTGATGAAAGTCTAAATATGTTGGCAACGAGCTGCTCTGGAAGCTTCCAGTCCCTGCTCCAAGGACTCTCTATATACCCACATAAAATAACTGCTGTCTAACACACAGGCCCCGTAACGCCAGCTCCTCTCCTTTACCGGGGTGTTTCACCTCCTGAGCCTCCTTTGTCTCAATGAAATTACCCTGTGAAAAGCAGAAGTGTGTGGCGAGGAGGACAGAGGCACACACAGCCCCAGGTCCGCTAGCTGTGGCTGGGTCCCCCCCGGGGGGGGGGG